CACATAAGTCAAAGATCAGCCAATTCTTGCTTTAGTGGTGCCTGATCAAGTTGAGCATCATAGAGTTGGGTGAGGGAGGACAGTTGGCTGTGCATGTTTTGCTGTGGGGCTGGCCAAGGAGAACATTGGAATTTGTAGGTGTTCTTGATCAATCTCAAGAAGTGCAATTTGCAAAACTATTTGTTTTTTGGCTGATCTACAAGCCTGTGCAGTTACTTGGATATATCCTCATGAAATTGGCATGTTTTGAGAGGCTATTATATCCTTGCTTCCCACACAGAAATATGGAACACCAATTGCTTGGAGGTTAACTCTTACTCTTTTAAAGATTGGCTGTTCCATTCATGTGAGAAAAAAAGGAAAATTAATAGATTATATTTAGAATTAGCCTACTGGAATATAAATCACTTTTATATCCAAATGTATCCACAAAGAAATAGATGCAGTCTGTTGAATCCAACTGATTCTTTAAGCAAAGACCAGAGAGTGCACTCTTTGCTACTGTTTCATCTCTTCCTTGTAGAGGTGGACTTATGGTTTGAGCATGTATTATGAGAATTTGTGAAGACCAAATGTAGCAGTACAGATATGCATTTAGAAGAGTAGGTGGGTGAATTTTCCAACATCATGATGTGTTGGTGGCATTTTACCAGAGGCAGAAGCTGATGCAATGCTGTTACTGATTTCAGGTACTCTTCTCAAAAAGCAGCTTATGTGCTTTCATATGATATTGTCAATATTCCCTTGGGAGCAGTGTTTCATTCTAGGCAAGCGGCACATACAGAAGAGCTTGATTTTGTCCTCATCCTTGCTTTTCTTAGTCATGCATGGCTTCCTCATCTACTGAAGCTAAAATGAAAAGGCTTGAGCTAAAGCTTCAATTGCTTTGGAACCCATCTCCTGCTTTGAATCAGCTGAAGCTTCTCCATAATTTCTTCTTGTTATATTCCGGATTGTCTGCATGAGGTGGGTGGGTGGGGCTGCATGTCTCATGCCTTCTCAACATGTCAATAGTTTCACCTTATTTACTGATCTTATCTGAACACATGCCATTGAGCACAACACAACACAGGAGACTGGTAAATACTCATAAATAGTGCTTGTTTCTGTTTGCAGTTTGACTAAATTTGATTTAAAGGGACTGGGCTTGACTAGACTGGTACAGTTTAAAGTGAACATATTAAGTTGCATCTTTAATGACTGAAGTTTCAGTTTCTTGACATGTCTGCACTGAAGAATTATATCACATGCAGACACACTTAGCAGGCCCCACATCTTGAGCACCTGGGGAATGCAAGGAATATGTCAAGCAAGTTTTAGTATAGATGTAGCTTGTGATCTCATCAAGGTAGGAAGACCCAATAATGGACTAGAAAAAAAAGGAGAAAGCTAACCAATGAAGTGGACCCAGGCTGGCCTGTAGGAGCTTGTTAATGAGCTGCATGGGACAAGGCTACCTTTGACATGTATTGACTGCAGTTCTGCAGGGGAAGAGCCAGAATATCCAGCTTGGTATCTGTAAAGATACAGTTCTCTTCTGAAATAAATTGATTGAGAGCAAGTAAAATGCATGGGTTGAGCCTCAGAGTTCTTGGATCTCATGAACTTCCAAAATTTGAGTCCTTGCCTTCAAGCCAGAGGCACAAGCCTTGTAAGCATAACTATGAAATGAAGGGCTGAAAGGCAAAGTGGTCTATCTGCAAAAAATTATTTTATCCATCTCCACATGAAAAGAGGGAATGTTCCAGCAACTGTCTTCTTGGAAGTGAGTACAAATGATTTTCATTGAAGGCCAGATTCACCCTTACATATATCTCAAAACTACCATCTTTAAATGAAAAAGGTATAATTTGCACTAAATCAACTATGCTTTTCTTGAACATTTTTTGCAGATCTCCTAAATGGACAGTTGGCTTGTGCCCCTTTTGTTTGGCTTTCTTATTGGCTATTCAGAATGATAGAGATGATATGATGGGGAAGATTAGTTCCTTGACAATTTGGCTTCCCTTGTCAAGTCCATTGGTCTGAAACTTGAATTTCATTTCAGGCTGCATCAGGCCTTAGCACCTGATACTTCCCCCTTTTTATCATGATAGTGGGATTGTTGGGCTTCTTTCATAAATATGGAAATAAAAAGATTGAACAGAGTATGACTTACCTTTGGTTAAGGAGATGGGTCATTCCACAGATATAGGAACAAAATTTTCAATGAAATGTGAAATGCTACATTTGATTCCAATCGATGATGAGCAGTGCAATATTGGATATTGCCACGCTGCACACAAGTTGTACTCAAATGCAATGTACCAAAAATAGGAGTAATATAAATTTTTTTTAGACATAGTATTCTTTGGCTCTTAAATTTTGTGTATTAATGATAATGATAATATAGATATTTGTTTCCCAAAATTGGTTCCCACAGAGTGTGTCCTTTACATGTAGCATGAGTCACAAAAACCCCAACTTTTTTTTTGCTCTCAGAAGTGCTGTAAGAAAATGGAATTGCCATCAGCAAAAGATCAATGCCTACTATTAGGTTGTTCCGAAATAAATGTCCGATTTTCGAAGTGTAATGTTTTGTCTATAATTATACCTGTCAATTTTGCGATAACCAGTTATTGTTATATACCGTTTTTTTCAGCAAACCTTTCTCTATGTAAGCCACTTAGTTGCTTTTTATTTATCTTTAGCCTAACGTTCCTGTAGCTGCCAAAGCGAATGATGGAGAAACGCAACTTTCGTCCGATTTTTCTTTACGAGTTCAAACTTGGAACTAATGCTGCCGAAACAGCGAATAAAATCAACACTGCATTCGGCCAGGGATCGGTCACGGATCGCACCATTCGACGCTGGTTCGAAAAGTTTCATAACGGAGATGAGACTCTCGAAGAACAGGAAGGTAGAGGTCGGAAAGAGTCTCTTGACGACGCCGTTCTGAAGACTATGGTGGAACGTGATCCCCATGTAACGGTCCGAGAGCTTGCGGAAGAATTGTCTGTTGGCATCGCAACCGTTTCCCGTCATCTGAACGACATTGGAAAGACGAAGAAGATGGACAAATGGGTTCCGCACGAACTCACCGCGAGTAATCGCACTCGCCGATACGAGATCAGCTCCGCATTGCTTCTACGCAACACAAACGACCCTTTTCTCGACCGTATTGTTACGTGCGACGAAAAGTGGCTCCTGTACGACGATCGTAAACGATCGGCGCAGTGGCTGGACCGAGATGAGCCTCCCAAGCACTTCCCAAAGCCAAGCGCTCACCCGAAGAAGACTATGGTCACTGTATGGTGGACTTCAACAGGAGTGGTGCACTACCACTTTCTGAAACCTGGTGAAACAATCACAGCGGAGAAGTACTGTGACGAACTGGACACGATGCACGAGAAACTTCGCAAACTTCAGCCTGCATTGGTCAACCGAAGGGGGCCGATTCTGCTGCACGACAACGCCCGACCGCATGTCGCACATCTCACCGTACGCAAACTGAATCAGCTGGGCTACGAAACTCTGCCTCATCCACCATACTCCCCAGACATATCACCTACGGATTACCACTTTTTCAAACACCTGGATCACTTCGTCAAGGAGAAACACTTCCATGATCAGACCTCTGCCGAAGATGCCTTTAAGGATTTCATTGCCTCCAGAACCCAGGATTTCTACTCGACTGGGATCAACAAGCTTGTATCTCGTGTGAAGTGTGTTGAAGCGGATGGTGCTTACTTCAACTAAAAATGTTCATTATCAGCTGAGTTACGACCCTTCAAAGTTTGCGATCGAATTCGGACATTTATTTTGGAACAGCCTAATATCTCATTTCCTTTTTATTGACATCATCCATTGGAGACTGGAAAGCCTAGTGCAATTATTTGCCAAATTTTTCCAAAAATTTAACATGAGTCACAATGGAATAACCCTGATGAAAAATTAGCTAATGCTCAACAGCTAATGTGTTACAAGAATCAACTTGTATTCTCTGGATGAAATGAAGTTGTAGCCTGTTTCTTGAGGAGACTGCTCTTTATAGGCATTCCTCCAAGCCATTGGTAGTGGATGAATCAGGTTTTTTCCAATTGTTTTAGTTTTTGTTTGGGAGAAAATTAAGTCTGCATACTCTTTAGGAGAAAAGAATATTATAATTAAATACCTGAAATGATTACAAAGGAAAAAATCATCACCAAAAGATGATAAGGATGAATGGAAAATGAGCAATCATGATGAAACTTTATACGTAAACTTATTTGCGATGTGTCTTTTAATCCTTTTTTAGTTTCATGGGTGTAGGATGAATGAGACAAAGGCCCACTGCTGAACTGGGCCCATTCAGCTTTCATTTTTTCAAGATGTATGATGCTCATACAGCTTTTTTGTTGGTCTCTAAGTTTGTCCTCTTATGCTTTAATATGACTCTCCTTTGGATGCAAGGGTCACCAATGGCATTTCAGATGGAATACCCCAATCTAAGGGGCTTACACCCTCACATAAATAAACTGGATCTCTTGAGATGTAGCTCAACAGGATGTTACTTGATCTGGTAAAAAGAGTGTAACTCCTGTTCATTAGGTTTCATCATGGGAGAACCCAAATTCTTACACTTCATGCTATGAAAAGAGGCCACAATTCTAGGACTCATTGAACACCTCTTATTTGTGGTTGTCTTCATGCTCATTGCATAAAAACAAACACTTTAATTGTCTCAGACAGAGCAGTTGGAAATTTTTTTCTTTACTATTGAGTAAAGAAAAAAATTTCCAACTGCTCTGTCTTTGTGTGTCTGTTTCTTTGTATGTGCCAAAAGATTTTTAACTTTTAACTTTACCTCTTTAAGAGGGAGTAGCCAGAAGTTGCATTGACATTGAAGGAAGCTGCTTTATGGCATACATGACTTTTTTCATTTTGTGTGTTGCTGAGTGATATGTAGTATAAGGCTTGCATGGAACTGTTGGGGACTTTTCCTGAGGAATGAACATTTGCATTCCTGTAATGTCCTATAGGTCACAAGGATCACTTGGAAAGATGGAGGGAGAAGGAGACACTGACACACATCTCTCCAAGCTTGATGTTGTCTTGTCTTTCACTTTGGAGGTGAGGTGAAGAGCAAAAGCAACAAGATGCATGATCTAGATATGACCAATAAATGTCTTGTATTGTGTGTGTGCAGGTGATAGTCATGGAGGTGAAGGGGCTCAAATCCTTGCCTTCAAATAGAATAGTGTACTGCACAATGGAGGTGGAAGGAGGAGAAAAGCTCCAAACTGACCAGGCAGAAGCAGGCAGGCCTATGTAAGTCCTTATTTGAACTCTGTATGTCTGGCACATCTGTATTGGTCATAAATAGTGAGCTTTTCATTTTGAAGGTGGGATACACAAGGAGATTTCACTACAAACCACATATTGCCTTCTGTCAAGATCAAGTTATATGCTGAGAGCCAGGGAATGCTAGCCCTTGAGGACAAGGAATTAGGCAAAATAGTCTACCGTCCAACACCATTCTCCAGCAAGGTTGTCAGACTCCCTTTGTATGAAGTGTATCTCAAGGAATTCTTTGTATCTCACTGTATTATTGAAAAACCATGGGAATCATGTAGGCTCCTGAGTGGCACAAGCTGACAGTTCCACCCAAAGCAGCTGACCAAGATTTGCGCATCAAGTTTGTTTGCCGTATGGATAGACCTCAGAATCTCAAACACTGCGGGTGGGGAAGAGGATTAGGAATGAAATAATCAATTCACAATTATGTGCATGATACTGAGAGGACTAGTTCTCCAATTAGGTGGTTGTATGCTGTGGGAAAGACACAGTGGAAGAAGTGGAAAAGAAGATACTTTGCCTTAGTCCAAGTGTCTCAGTACACATTTGCCATGTGTAGCTATCGAGAAAAGAAGTCTGAGCCTACTGAAATGATGCAGCTTGATGGCTATACAATTGACTACATCGAACCTTCTAGTGGTAAGTCTATCATATCCTCTCAATTCACCTAGCTCTTCCTTCATTCCCTTTTTCTCTATAGCTTCGATATGACATTCTCAAAATTTATATCCATATACAGCTCAACTCATGGTTGGAATGGGTGAGTTTTGTTCCATGCTGTGAAGTGTTACTTTTTGACACATTTTTGTCACTCTTCATCAGGTTCTTCCTTTTGAGTTGCATTCATTGTGCAATCATAGTTTTTTGCTTTCTTCAAGGTATTGTCCTGTTACTGGGGTCAAGGTAGTTCAGCAGGCAAGAGTTCTTTTACCAGCATGTAGCTTACTGTGCTTCTTCTCTGCAGATTTGGAGGGAGGACGATTCTTTTTCAATGCTGTGAAGGAAGGAGATAGCATTCTATATGCAACAGAAGATGAAAATGAAAGCCACTTATGGGTGATGGCCATGTATCGAGCCACAGGGCAGTCTCACAAGCCCACACCACCCATCACACCTGCATCAGGGAAGAACTCCACCATCTCTAAGCTGCAAGGAGGTTTGTCATTGTCAATCTCATCCCAATTCTTGATTGATAGTTTGCTTGGAAGAGGGTTTGAAGGAGATTAACTTGTTCCATAGATGCGGATCGGGCTAGAAAGCATGGAATGGAAGAGTTCATTGCTGCTGATCCGTGCAAGTTCAATCATCACTGCATATTTCAGACCCTCCAGACTCTGACCCTCAATTTTAGGCTCAATGACCCATACTGCTCTCTGGTAACATCATTCACCATACTCTGTGCAGCTTTGCCATGGATAGATGGTACAGATACACCTTGTTTCTCTTACAGGGGTGGTTCAGTCCAGGGCAGATCTTTGTCTTGGATGAACATTGTGCCAGGTATGGGGTTCGAGGTTGCTTTCGCCATCTCTGCTATCTCCAGGATCTCTTGGATCGGGCTGAAAAAGGGATTCTTATTGATCCAACTCTCATTCACTATTCATTTGCATTCTGTGCCAGTCATGTTCATGGAAACAGGTAGAGCTTGCTATGATGAGATCCAGATAACTCATGTGGTGAATTGAGAAGTTTCAAGCCAAGCTCATCATATGGAATGCTTTTTCTTCAGGCCAGATGGGGTTGGGACTGTGCTACATGATGAAAAGGATCGATTCCAAGATGTGAAGGAGAGGCTCAGGGTTCTTCTTGAGAATCAGATCACCAACTTTAGGTTTGTTGAGTCATCTTTGGCTCACACCCTTCCACGGCATGCTTCTGACTATGATGTGAAATGTAGTACCGGAACTACTTGAGTCCACAGAATGCTGAATGTTGAGGGTCAGCTTTCCTAGAAAGGTTGCATATGGGGGGCATTCAGAAGTAGGGCTGTCACAGTACATTGGTATCACCATTGTGGAGGTGGAAGAGGCAATTGAACCACCTTATTAAGTGGCATATAATTAAGATTTAAATCTCAAGGCTTCTTGATGTCAAATTAAGACCAACATATATGATGAAAGTAGGGATTTTTTACTTCAAAAATATTGAACGTGCTTTGGTTCCATTTGATTCTCTCTTGCCATAAAATATGTAATTAAATAGCAGCTAGGCAGATATTTAGCCACTTGCCATTTGAAAGAGTATTTCATTTTCAATAGTCATCTTCTGCATCAGAAACTGAAAAGTTATTGATGCCCATCTTGACTGCTTAGAAAAGAATTCCGATTAATAAATATATTTTTTATTGGTGGCCCTGATCAATTCTCAATACTTCTTGAATGCCCCTTAAAAGTAGTGGCATCTTCTGCTTCCTTCATGATTCGGTCCCTTTTTGTGGTGCTTGAAATGTCTAACTCACTATTATGCCTGTATGTTTCCTTTCATGCTTTCACTAACTCCTCAGATACTGCTTCCCTTTTGGGAGGCCAGAAGGGGCTTTGAAAGCCACTCTCTCACTCCTGGAACGAGTGAGTTCTTCTAAACTTTCCTTTTGATTCCTCCCATGGCTTCCTTTTAACTGCATTGGTATACATAATCTTGATTGGATTGGTTTTGATTCCATTTTATCTTCTGCAGGTGCTCATGAAGGACATTGTGACACCTGTGCCTCCAGAGGAAGTGCGAAGTGTCATCAAGAAATGTTTAGAGAATGCAGCACTTGTCAACTACACCAGACTTTCTGCAGAAGCCAAAATTGAAGGTGAGAGTATGATCTGAGTTTGGCCTGGTGTAACTTTGGTTATTTTTGCAGTCACTTGATGTTGAACACCAACATCCAGAGCACATGTGCAATATTTATGCAGGATGGCTAAAAAAAGAAAATGAGAATGTCTTTGCAAGGGAGATTTCTCTGAGATCAACTTACCAAGATCATCTTGGGAAGATGTAAAAAAGTTTTCAGAGGAAACTGGTAAATCTTTCCATACACATTATTTGGTAAAATTCAGTTGAACTGTTACAATCACTGAATACAATTGACTCCCGTTATAACGAGGTTTCCTTATATCAGGACAGGAGGTCATATAGCTCCATTCAAAGGACTTTAATCTGTTTTATGGCCTCATTTACATATTTTATTATCCCTTTCATGCTTTAAGAGAACACAAGAACCTTCGTCCATCTCCAGAGCAGCAGCAGTCATTTGGTCACTAAGAGCATATCAAAACATGAGAATAAAAATAAAATATTCGCTTTCAGAACACGGCCCTCATGACTGCAGGTAATCTCGTATGCTTGTTTGCCAACTTGAAGTCGCCCACTTCAGAAAGAAGAATTTCTCTGGCAAAGGGGGGGGGGGGAAAGTGGGTACTAAGTCAAGGAACGTAGAGGATAAGAAAAGAGGCAAGTGAGGGAATATGTATTTCTTAGAATAGGGAGGAATAGGGAATAGGATTAGGGAGGGGAGGATGGGCAATATAGGGGACAGCGAACAAGAAGGTAGTGAACTTTTATTACTGCAATAGCACATGATGATACAATGAAAATAAACATCTTGAATCATAGCCCCCAAAGCATTCAAGCTTCAAGATAATACAGAACTTAATTTTAGAAGGTAGTCATGAGTAGATGACGAAATTATTAAAATTATCGTTAACTCTTGATGAACTGTCATCAGACATATTTACCACACTGACCATTTTGTCCTAGGACCATATAACACTGTTTTCGGATTGAATTGATACCCCCCTATCGTGGAGAATGGAGAAAACACAAGCTTTCCAGATGATCCTCTAGATGTCAAGCCTGCTGCTCCACACGGTTTTTGGATGGTTCAATTAATACTTCACCTTCCATCTGCAAGGTGTCCTGCCTGTACTTGATGGAAGTGCTCCTGGGGTGGGGGTATCAATTCAATACGAAACCAGTGTATCCAGGGCCAAAATGGCTGGAGCCTTTTTGTCCTGGATTCCATGATTGGGGATTTCTTTCAGGAATTGGCAAGACCATAGTTCTCATATGCATGAAGCAATTTTACTTTGATCACAGCCTTGTCAATTGAGAAATCAGGATTATGTTTATAAGCATAATCCTGAAACCCTTGCATCATAAAATGATATTTCAACAATCTTCTTTATTTTCTATGCCAATATTGAGAAGCAGAAACAACTCACTGGCAGAAACTTGATTTAAATTACTGCATTTACTCATGTATAAGGCACTTTTTTTGCATATTTTATTGTGTTCAATGAGGGGGTGCATTTTATACTAGGAAAACATTCTCTTTTGCACTAAAAAAAATTTGTCATCATGCCTATAACTCATTGGTCACTTATTGAGGCAGAGACAGTGTCTGCAGTCAGTCAGAACAGGGCAAATATAATGTTATAATAAAACAGTAAACAGGGAGTGGCTTTGTTGATTTGGGGACTTCATTCGGTATCGGAATCTGAATCTAAGGGAGATGGGAGATCCAGTTTGCAAGAGCAAACTGGAAACTTGCAAACTCTTGTATGGGTTCATGTCTCAATCACTCTAGTTTTACACATTCCATCCTTTCGAGACCAAAAACGGGCAAACAGTGCCAGAATGAAGCTAAATGTTTACACAGTATGCTGCATTGAGGATTTTACTACAGAAGTACAGACTCACTCTTTCATGTATTAGGCCACTTCATTCTTGATTACTGGAAATGATCCCTTTTTCCCCATAAAAGGCCATGAGATTCTTCAGAGCCTGGTTCAATTTCGCCCTCACCTCCATCTGCTTCTGTATACAGCTTTCCTCAATGTCATACTTACAACCTATTGTACGGATGCCCAACTCCTTTGCTTCCTGAATCACGTGGATTTCTCTGCAGCTGTGTAACTTCACCATACATTTCCATAGATAATAAAACAAACATTAAGGATACTGTGCCCCCCCTCGATAAAGGCCAGGACAGTGAATAAGAAACAAGGTTCGGCCGACCTCATGACCGGCTTTACCCCTTATTCATCTTTCTTGTCTGACACTTTTTGCTATGAAATAGGGGGGTGCACCTTATACACAGAATCTTTTTTTGCACAAATGGGGACCTCAAAAGCGGGGATGCATCTTATACACGGTGGCGCACTATACTCGAGTAAATACAGTAATGGCCATGGGCCTACTTATCAATCATGATGCGGCTGCTGTCCTTGATCTGTAGGAGTGAGCTGTCTCCTGTAGGAGAGCCATGCTGTCTCTAGTGGTCTTAGCCATGTTCATGCAACTGGCATGACATCCTATGTGCTTGACCCTATCAACTGATATGGGAGAGTATTGTGTCATATGCAAAAGGATTTGCCAGTTTTCTCAAACAATTTTTACATGTATAGCTTGTCTGGTCTTGGAGAAATCTCCTTCGGGATATTGTTTTTCTGGAACCACCCTGCCTATGCTTTGTAGTATTCAAAAAGGATGCCCATCCTTTTTCCTTTGTGCTGCTCTGTAGGAATTGGAGAAGCCTCCTATCAAGGTAGGTGAACATTCACTAATATTTTCTCAAAGAATGAAGAGCAGATTTTGTACAGTTTATTTCTATCTTGCCTTCTGTTATCTTTAGTCTTCATGATCTCTGGGATGATCATGATCTGGGATGGGGGAGTGGGAATTAGTTTTTTTTTACTTTATTCAATTATTGTGATAATTTTTGGTTGACTTGTTTCAGAATTTTCATCACATGAAGCTTAGGTCTATCTGTCTCATAGGCTTTCATATGCTGATAGATAGTTGAACCCCTTAACTGTTTTTGACATAATATTACACATGTTGGGTGCATATCTAGTGGCGCTGTTCTGTACACAAGTGCACAGATAAATATGTGGCTTTTGAATACTAATTCATAGAGTGTAAGTATGATGTGGCTACTGGAATGGAAACAGTTAAGGGGTTATTCATAAAATGTGAGTTCATGCTTACTTGCAGATGACTTCAGTGGGGAACTAGCAGTGAGCCCAAGCAAGAAACTGGAGGATCTTATCCACTTGGCTGAGCTGTGTGTGGATCTCTTGCAACACAATGATGAATACTATGCTGAGGTAGACATGGCAACTTTCTTCCCTTTGAGTCAGTGTTATCTGTTCATGTGGACTGTGTCTTGTCTCTCACACATGGCTTACTTGACAGGATGTTCTCTCACCTACATGTGGATGGACTAGATTGACCTCACATGTTGTTTAATGTCGGTTGACTAGTAGCCCCAGAGTAGGCCCCAAAATGTGATGTGATCTAAGCCTAGTGCTTCCAATCACCATCCTTGTAGGAATTGAATAGTTGATGTTTTTCTTTCTTCAAGTGTGCTTCCCTAAACAGTTTTATTTCATCCTCATTGTGCAGTTCAGTAGTCAGGTAATTTAGAATTTCTTGATAGCAGAAGGTAAGCATTTACAATTACATGGTAGATCTGCAATGTGTAAGCACAGTGCCTATTAGTTCCACTCTTGGTGGGATTGATTTTATCAGTGTCATTCTGTGTCAAGCAGTCCAAAATTCAGGATGGGTTGCATCACTCACTGGGCTCTAGCTATGCAGAATCATGGCTATTGAGGGTTAAGAGAAGGTGGAAAATGCCAAGTTTCAACAGCCTGGAAGTCACATTGTCCTCAGAATGTGCTCCCTTAAATTTTGGAGTGGAATGGCAAGGTGACCTCTTGGAATAAAAGTACCATCTGCCAAACTACCCACCCTAGAGGGCTATTGGCTCATATAAAAACTTGAAATCAGGCAATTCTAACATATTTAATCCGATTTTCATGTCTCAATTGGAAAAGGGTAAGTGTATTTGATTCCATAAGATTTTAACATTTCAACCACTTATATCTGGACTTATACTTATATCTATGTCCAGCTTTCCCATTGTTGAAGCTTAAGGGGTGAAGTTTTAAAATGTCATGGAGTCAAAAAGAATTTGCTCTTTTCTAATTGAGGTGAGAACAACTGATGAAATAAGTTAGAATTGCACAATTTCAAGCTTTAAAATGTAATTTTTTTCTGAGAAGTCACCTTGCCTCTACCCCCTCCAAAACATAAAAGGGCATGCCTTAGAAAATCATTTTACCTTTACATAATTACACAATTTACCTTTAAATAATACTATTGAGATTTCAGATATGCCAGTTTCTCAATATTTGTGACTGAAATAGGACTGCATCTGGTTTTTTTTCTTACCTTGTGAAAAACATATTATCATGGAATACCATCACACTTATTTTCATCTGTGAGTCCCCTCCTGAGCAAAGTTAGCTCCATATTGAGAGATTTTTCCTGCTTGTTCAAGGATAAAGATGTCAAGACCTCATCATATTCTAAAGCATAATTTGGACATGAAACATATAGATGTTCTTTAGTTGAGACCACTTCCTAGTTCCAAATGTCACATAAATGTTTGTGGCACTTGATGAGAAATGCATTCTTGAACGTGCATTACACTTGAGGCAGAAGAGAACGTGGAAGCCATCTAATCAATGTTCTTTCTTTCTCTCCCTTCTCTCTCATTTCTTTTTGTCTCTCTGCCCTCTCCCTCTCGATGTTCTCTGTGTGAAAAATTGTGTGAGAAAAGAAGGACAAAGTAAGTCCCACTCTTCCCCTCAACCTCCCTGCTTGCTCTTTGTGCATGCTATGAAGGAGAATGTTCACTGCATGATTCTACCTCGCATTACTTGTAATTGCATGTAGGTATGCATATAATTGACAGGTTTGCCATTTTTTCACTCCTAACTGCACTCATTACTCGATCCAGGGTGTCTCACTAAAAAATGTAAAATTATAGTCTACTAGTATTGTATTCTCATCTACTGCAGTTAAAATAAAGAACCAAGTTTCAAACTTCCAGAGTCATTTACAAAGAGAGCTAGAAGCCATTGAGAAGTTATGCCTTTGAATACTTAAACTCTTTGGAAGAGTAAGTGAAAAAGAATTCTGATATTGGTTCCTCCATTTTGAACAGTGGCTGCCAAATATGACTGCAACTGCCCAGTACCAAGCAACCAACTTTTGAACAGTCTTGTTGATAGATCCTACAGGTGGAGAACCTGTTGTTGATCTGACACTTTCGTGAAATGCTCCCCAAACTTTGTAATGACTTTATATTCAGGGCTCATGTGACACCTGATATTTTTTGGATTCATGAAATTGATAGTTGTACAGGCCTGTGGGATGAAGTGCCATCTTGTTAGAGTATGACTCGATTGCCAAATATTGCCTGAATGTTGGACAACTCAGTAACATCCTGATTTTGCTCTGACATGCCATGTTTGGCAAATATTCACAAATCAAGTTCCATGCAACAGTTCCACAGTTGGAGCATACCAGACTTTTGGGCTCAAAAACTTAGCCTTTATTTAAAGAATGTTATTATGCAGTTTGGGAAAAAAAATTTTTTTGAAAACTTAAGAAAAGGTTAACAGGAAATCCTGCTTCCAGAATTGCAGAATCAGTGAGGGAAGGTAAGAGTGGGGTGCTGTCTCCTTGAGATTTATGGACTTGGTTAGCAATCAGCTGCAGTCATGTTTGGTAGCCATTGTTTAAAATGGTTGAGACAATATTGCACAGATTCTTAATGACGTTATCAGGAATTGAGAGCATTTTAAGGCGTTGCTCTATTCTAACTCTTCCTGCAAATATGAGGGTTGTCCGAAAAGTTCTCTGTATTGATTTTTAAAATGAGTTACACTCGATGAATCTGTATTAAATTTCAGTGAGCACTGGTTATGTCTAATAGTATTCTCTGTGCGAAGTTTGGTATAAATCTATCTAGATTTACACTCCCTGCCGGATATTGCATACAGTCACTATGAATGCCTCCGTCGTCCAAGAATCATTCTCGAAACATCACATTCGAGTCATCGTCGTGTTCCATGTTCTGCTCAACAACACACCGACAGAGATCCATCAACTGATGTCAATGGCTTTTGGCCAACACTGTCCAGCTTACGAGACGATCCGGAAGTGGTCAAAGCTCTTCCTGGAGGGGAAGACGAATCTTGAAGATGAGCCACGAAATGGGCGACCAGTTTCTGCTTCAACACCAGCAAAAAGCCCTGCAAGTCCCCGACCTCCTTCAAGAAGACCGCCGAATCACCACCAGACCAAAAGCTTATGAGCTGGACGTCTCACCCGATACTGCTCATCGCATGGTCACTGAAGAGCTGGGAAAGAAGAAGGTCGCAGCAAAGTGGGTCTTCTTCCTCCGGTCTTCCTCTGGCCCACTTCATGGCTCATCTTCAAGGTCCTTCTTTCCCTCCAGGAAGAGCTTTGACCACTTCCGGATCGTCTCGTCAGCTGGACAGTGTTAGCCCAAAGCCATCGACATCAGTTGATGGATTTCTGTTGGTGTGTCGTTGAGCAGAACATGGAACTCGATGATGACTCGAATGCGATGTTTCAAGAATAATTCTTGCAAGATGGAGGCGTCCATAACGACCGTATGCAATATCCGGCAGAGAGTGTAAATCTGGATAGATTTATACCAAACTTCGCACAGTGAATGCTATTAGATATAACCAGTGCTCACCGAAATTTAATAAAGATTCATCTAGTGTAACTCATTTTAAAAAAGCAATACAGAACTTTTCGGACAACCCACGTATATTATTGTAAGTGTAAGTTTGGTTTATTTTTTGTTAACCCTGTAGTCTCCCTTCAGTTCATAATTACGTGAAGATTGGCCAATGTTTTTTGTGGTCATTGTATGCTACAAATCCTTTTGCCGTTTACTTTCGCCCTATTTTCTGAAGCTAGGATAAGGTGTATCAAGGACAGGAAGGTGTCCTTGAGGTCGGTTGGGGTGGTTTCGGTGATTCTGTACGTTGGGACCAAAGATACCCCCAAATTTGGCTCCGAGGCTATGGTTGCCGAGAGCGATTGATAAGAGCGTGCCGTGACCATGTGCGCGATTCCAAGCCGATTGGATGAGGGAGGTGTGACGTGGTCTAGGTCGGAAGGAGTACATGATAGGATGGCGGAAGTCAGTATACCATGGACACCAGGGAAGCTATGAGGCAATATGTGCATCCGATGGCTAGAGATGGTGTTAATTTCTCTAAGGAACCCCTCCTTTGAGGGGTTGTCCTAAAGCTGTCGGTATAGCAATAACGAAAGAGATACAGCCTATTTTTTTTTTAGGTTTGTAGATTGGAGGGCAATCACTATGAGTAATTCGATTCTTCGACATACTGGTATCAAGAAAGGGGCTTGGTAATAATTGGCTAAAATATTTCTACACGGATGCACGTAGCTTGTGTAACACAATGGATGTACTGCGAGGAAGGGTGCTTGGAATCAGTTATGATGGCTGGAAATACTGAGATTTCGGGGGAGCTCAGACATCATGGATAAGGAATTCGAAATTCAGGGATTCGACACTTCACGTAAGGATAGGCTCGGAAGGAAGGGTGGTGGAGTCATCTTGTATATGAGAAACAAACTAGGTGTCAGCAATTATAAATTAATGTTTTACTTCAGTTAATTTAGGATCAATTGAACATTTATGGTATGAGATCGGTGGGGCAGCAGAGAAGATCCTGTTAGGAATATGCTTTAGGCCAGGGGTGTGCAACCTACGAGTATATCAGCAGTGGGCCGCATGTATATGTGACTCTTGACGCGGGCCACAGAATGCAAAAGAAAAGGCTCCCTTTTTTTGTCCTCAGGGCATATGAGGGCATAAGGTCTCGCTGATTGGCCTATGATCCTTACCTCCTCCTCACCCCAAGGAAATTCCAACGTCCAAAAATAGGCCCCCTTCTTAAAAAGAGGAACCACCACATAGGTCTGCCAATCCATCGGTGCCGTCCCCAATTTCAAAGCAATTCGACATATCCTATCCAACCATGGGCACCCATCAAGTAGGGTACATAGGTCGTCGACCTATCTTGACCTTGAGTGTCTTCACAAGGCTGAGTAGAAATGTGAACATTTTTTTAGTAATAAAAAGAATAATCCATATAAGATATCGTTATTGAGATTGCACATTATAATGAGTTGGAAAGAAAACTAAGGCCCAATGTTGAAACCTCCCTGTTGTTAACGGTCCTTTAAGAATACATGGACTCTTATGGGGGGGGGGGGGGGGGGGGGGGGGGG